CTGACTTTCGGGAAGTCATATCCACCCACACCCACCCAATTTTCATGCTTCTTGAATGCAGTCTGTCACAGATTAATGACCTTGAGGTTTTTTGCCATTTTATCTGACTGCAAACTTTCAAGTCACATATCAAAATTTTTTATCGTGATCGCGACGGGGTTTAGTGTTGCGTATTGAGTAGTAAGGATATTGATTACTATAATATACTACATGCATATGGTGATTAGTAATATAAATTGATTTGTCCTATGATATTGAATATCCATCTATACCCACCACGAGGTCATGGTCATAATGGGTACCCAACGAGGGCTCTGTTCTGTATCTTCCAAGTTGCAGATTGAGTCGATCGAGATGAAGAACGATTAGATGAAGGAGAAGATGGGAGAGAATTCAGGCGCTCCATTGGTGGCTTCATTTGGCGAAATGCTGATCGACTTCATTCCCGGCATCGCCAGCGTCTCTCTGGCGGAGTCGGCCGGGTTCGTCGAGGCCCCTAGCGGTGCTCAGGCTGACGTCGCTGGGGAAATCGCCAAGCTCGGCGGCCGTTCCGCCCTTCTTGGAATGGTGATGCTCTCCTCCTCTTCCAATCGCCCTCCTTGACCGCTTTTGGTTTGATGAAACTGATCGAAGAGAACTTTAGCAAAATGATTAGGAAGAAAGATACATCTTTTGGGAAACTAATTATCAAATTTCTACTAAGTTTTTTTTTTTTTTCTGATGATTGGTCTGAGATGAAATTCAAATTTCGAACTCAAGCCCCTCAATTTGAACAAATGCCCTCACACATTATATACAAATAGGTTGGGAAAGACGAGTTCGGGCACATTTATGCTCGTACGTGAACATTCTGAAGCAAAACAGAGTGGAGACAAGCGGCGTCCTGTTCGACCGGCAAACTCCAACGGCGCTCGCCTTCGTCACTCTGCGCGACGACGGCGAGCGGGAATTCATGTTTTATCGCAACCCGAGAGCGGGTATGTTGCTGACTGAAAAAGAAGGATCTATATGGATCTCATTCTGCGCTCCGACTTATTCCACTATGGGTCTATCAGCCTGATTTCCGAGCCTTTTCGCTCCGCCCATCTCGCCGCCTTGCGCGCCGCTAAAGCTGCCGCTGTACTGTCTAAATATGGAACTGATCCTAATATTCGCCTTCCTCTTTGGGGCTCTAAACAATGAAAATTGTCTAAATGAGTAGTGTGAGTGAGTCGAGTCTGTCCATGAGTCGGCTCGGATTTGACTCATAAATGACTTATGAGTTGAACTGGATTAACTAATTATTCAGGTTTGAGCGGTCATGGACAGACTCGACTCATGAGTTTAATGGGTATATGAAGGATATGCTATAAATAATTAAAGATTGGCCGGACTATTTTATATTATATGAGGATGTGCATGAATATTATTTATATTTGCTTTAATATTAGTAATGTGTATATGAAGAATTTGTATTACATGAATATTAAGAGACATCTAATGATATTTATGCCTATCATAATATAGTTTGTTTAAGAATACATTGATATAATTAGTAAGATCTTATTTATATTTGACTTATTAAATAAAGGAAGTTATAGAAATTGGTCATTTAATTATATAAATGTTATTTTATGAAAGAATATGAGATGTCAGTATTATCTATATTAAAATACATTAATAAGATTTTTGAAATTACATTATATTAGCTCTTAGATATCAGTTTTGAGTCATGATATCAGTTTTGAGTCAATAATTCTTTTTCTTTTTTTTGCGGTTAAGTGAGATGAAGTGGCCAAATTCTTCGCCTATGAGAATCCTCTTTTGATGAGGAGAATATTTATTGTGAAAATCCTTAAATAAGAATCATTACGGATATGGTAGTGATAATAATTGTACACTACAGTGTGTATACACAAAGTGACACCAATAGTGTACATCAATGTGTGTACACTCACATTCCATTGATTGTTCTTAATTTCTGGACGGACTCCGCACATAATAATTTCTCATGATGAGGAGAATGGGACTCTATCCTTTGGATCCTGATCGCCGTGCAAGCTCCTCGTCGCACCGATGGGGAGATGTATGCCCTGTTCTCCAGATTATTTTCATCTAATTGGTACTTGTTGTATATTATATTCAGCTCAATGGTATTCAATTTTCTTTGTGACTCTAGTTTTTGTCCATTTAAAAGGATTAAATTGGAGCAATTGTGATAATTCTGCGAGACTAAATTTGATTATACACGATATATTAATTTAATTAGTGTGCATTTAAAAAATGTTATGTTTAAAGTTATATGACCTTCTCTTATGATTAATGATTAATTAATGTCGATATTTATTTGTGTATATGTTTAGAGATTCAGTGAGGTTAGTGATTGGCTGGCATTACCGGTGAAAGCCCTGGACACAACTGGAGCTGCGATGCTTTCGTTGTTGATCCCTTTTTCAGCCTTTTTCATTGCTAAGATAGATTTCCATTTTTTTCTCAATGTTCCAACCGTTTCCTAATTTTCAAGTTCTATCATTTTTTGTTGAGGTCTTGGATTTTGTTTTATAATCTATGGAGCCTCCTCTAATACTTGGTGTCAAGATTTTACATACTTTAGCTTTTGGATCCATGATGATGATTTCTTTTTTTGTTAGACTCTTAAACTTACAGAACCTGGAATATCAGCTTAAGAAGTAAAATTCTTTTTAGTATCTAAAAATATGTTAATTACTTATGTATTAAGGCGCGCAAAAAAGACTGAATGCTCGAAAATTATAAAGCATTAACAAACAAAAGATACAGCCCATAACCAACTCGAATATATCTAATTCTACTAGAACTGGCGTAGCTCGTTTAATCTTTTATTTGCCCTTTCCTAGTAATAAAAGTTTCTAGGTATAATATAGAAGTATATATGAAATTAAGAAAAAAATTTATAGATAGGTGTATTTAACTAAGTACAAGCTAATTTTAGAAAGCGCCCATATGGCCAGATAGGAATGGTCCTGGTTCCCAACGAGTGAATTACCCTTATTAAACCCTTATTTACGCATCCTTATTTGATTGCCATGGGGAAAACCTTCTTATAAATAGGGGTATTTTTACTAAATATCAAATGCTGGGTTAAATTTTAGAGAAACTCATCCATTATGTAAAGTCATTGATTTGAATAAAGATTAATATAAATCTAAAACTCATTAGACGATAAGATTCAGTTTCTCTAAAATAAAATTCAATCAATATATCCAAAATATAGTCACTGATTAACTCAAACGAACTGTTATATTGATCCCACGCAACTCCGCTCAAAAATCAAACCACTCCAACAAAAAAAAAGAAGTTAGCCCAAAAATCGAAAAAAATTAAAGCCAATAGACACAAATCACAGTAAAATGAAAGAGAGAAACAATGCAAATGATATCATTGTAGATCTCAGCCTTTAATTTCATACTCTATTTTTGTGGTATACATCCTCAAATTCCCAAATCCTTAATTTTCCGGTGGGCATGCACATGAATCTATAGAGTAAAATAAAATGGAAGTAATTTAAAAAAATATTAATGTATTTTAATATTTCTGGACGTTATCTGGACCGGAGTGGTAACATTATATATTTAAGTGATATCTCGTGAATCCTATTAAAAAGTTATACATCAGGATCGAAGCGGTATAATACAAATAGAATAATATTAAATGTTCTCAACCACCCCCAAACAAATGATACACATATGATGGTCTTAGCTGGGCGCAATCAGGCTCTCAGCGGTTGAACCAATCTAGCCGGTCTAGCCGAGGAGGTGCAGAATCCAACGGATATAGGCGGCTGGCGCGAAAGCCGTAGCAAACAAAACCAATTATGAGGTTACTCATGTTTGGTCCACATATGGCCTATTTAAGAGATGTGGCTTGTTAAAAAATAAGGATGGTCCTAATAAGTCTCCTTAGTTGTATCTATGTGATTCTCTCTTTTATTATGTTCTATGTTGATCGATCTTAGTATTTGATTTTAAATTATCTTATATATAATTATTGGAATGGAGTTATAAGTAAAGTAAATTAGATTCACTAATTGATAACAGAAGAAGATAGGTTTGTGATGACTTCTTTAACTATGTTTGTAAATTTCTTCCTAATAGTATTAGAAAGGCGATACTAAGTTTTATTAGGTGTTGTAGAATAAACCACACTTTAGGATTTCAAGCAAAGTAGGTGTAGTTCAACATAATAATAACTAATAAAAAACTCGATAGCTATTTTTCTTATGTAGATTTAGCAGCTTTTGATCTGGTAGCGACTGGTCCAGGGCAATGCGTTAGATGCCACTCACCGGGTTGGGAGAAGGCCTGCGGGAGTTAATGAATAAAAGAATCTTTACTTACTGTTATTTGATTAATTGAAATGTATAGTAATTTTGTGAAGAACCCTTAATTATGGTTAATATGGAGTGAAACTTTAGAGATTTCTCCAAAGCCCCATATTACTATTGGTGCCTTAGAAATGGTTATTCTAGTATGACCTCATACTATTTACGTAGTCATAGGCTAACGTTATCGAGAGTGTAAATTCTTTTATATATTAACTCTCTTTATGAAATTACCAATTCAATAATCCAGAAAACGTGATTATATCTAACTAAATTATCTAACAATGCGGTTAATTTTTATAATAATAAAATAATAGGTTATTTTTGGAATATTCTTACCTTATAAAAAACCATTACTTTTATTTCCTCTGTATGAAAATAAGAAGTTTCAATTCCCTGTGTCGCCGATAGAAACCTAACCAAAACGGAATATGCGAGCCCCTTGACACATACACACACCATAAACTCCCAATGCCCATCTAAAAGTTATTTTTCACTTGGGGTTGCCTAATGTTTCGCTTTAAAACATGACAGAAAGCCAATCACCAATATGATTTGATATCGGTGAAAGATGCTCTTACGCAAGAAGTGTTAGATGTAAGGACTGGGAGTTCCGATTACTCTACCTATGAGTGTGTGCTTTATTTCTGTGATGAACGTCGCAGAAGCCTCCTAAGTGATTTTAAGTGCAGCTTATTTCTCATACGCTGGTGTTCGTGGATTTTGGCGAGCTGGTTTTTGAGGGGTTGGAGGTCTTGTATCCTATCATATATGTTCGTTATATTCTTAGTGATCTGATTATTGGATGTATGACAGATCCGTGCAAGCACATTTTAGCTTAATACTCTCTCGTTTTCCACGCAGGCAGCCCAAGGAGCAAGTTAAGACCCTATTCCATAGGGTGGAAAGTGTGAGTGAGTGGCAAGAGTGCACATATCTATGATAAAGAATGAGTCCCTAAGAAAATATACGACAACGTTACGTGACTGTTGAGCGCGTGTGATACATGAGCGTTGAGTCTGGTGACTCTCACATTCCCTTAGGTGCTGGACGTAGGCAATCGCTGCGCAAGCACCCGGGAAAGGAGGAGGACATAGCGGGAGGAAGGGTTACTTGAATTAAGGTATATGCTGTGATGGTTACCGCAGCAATGAAGCGTTAGGGTTACACCAAACCTCGCATGATGGTGAGTTAATAAGAAGTAGTGTACTATTGGCCAAGCACGCTACCAATTTCCCCCGTTAGACTTCCATTTTATACGACCAAGGACGAGCTCTTTAGTTACGCCCCCTCAGATCAAAGTTAGAAGGGACAAAAGTTGAGAAAACGGATACGTCAGCCGCCTCTCGCGTAGAAAAAGGGCTATTATGCGCTGAACCTCTGAAAGGCATGTATGGATGATATTATGTATCAGAACTGGATAAAATAAGTTCATTATTCTCCACCATAAGTAAGGACTGTAGAGCACGAGGAGCAGAAATTTACCAGGACATTTTAGTGACTCTTTGAAGTAAAGAAAGAATAAAGTAGACATGATGACGGAGACATATCCAGAATTATTAGAAGATCGAGCAATGTAATTGGATCGTTTATAATGATTGATGGAAGCTCGCTAAAGTTCGTATTTATGTCAGAATAATTTTGCTAAACGATATATAGATTTAAAAGTGGGATTAGTATACACCTAGTGCGTATATTTAAGATGTGAAAGAGGATTTATTTACTTACAAATCTGCTCCTTATTTGACTAACAAAAATTAAAAGAATGTAGTTTGTGAGTGTGACTATATTGGATTAGCCATAATAGAAATATATAAAGTGAGTTCTTTATAGTTTGCTTAAC